CATTTTAAAAGGAAAGAGAATGCCTACAAGACCTGAAAATCTAATCCATTGATTCCTCAACATTAATTTTCAATATTATAAAATATTATGGAGAGAATATGAGTGGTAGAGAGTTCAATGAGAGTCTCACTTTTAAGAGTCTTCTTTGCATTTAGAATTAATCATATATAAACGAAGAAGGAAAAATGGAAGAAGCTTTCAAAATCTTCAAATTAATGCTAATTGGTTGACAAAAGTTTTTTTTGTTAATAGGTAGTTTAGATATTAGTTAATTTATTTTTTTATATATATAAATTTGATAAAACTAATACTAATACTAATATATAAAAAAATAATAATAAACAAAGGCAATTGTCACATGCACATGGATAGTGTTTGAGAAAGAGGTGTGTTATCTACACATCTCTTTTTATTTCATACACATTCTCTTAATTTGTGGCAATCGGATCGATTGAATTAAAGAAAATCAAAGGGCATAAATTAACAAAGGGTGTGTGTGAGAAGTAAAAAGGGTCACACATCCCTTTGAGAAAAAGCTAAGCATACGACATACAACATTTTGTAAACCACGTCTAAACCGTCGCTCTTATAGAGGTAAGATTTGCCATTTAATACTACGGTTTAGTGATATTCATCTTCATTTGTAAGTGAGAGGTCTTATGTTCAATTCTCATAAAAAAACGAGTTTGAACCACATTATTGTTAGTCAACTGTGAGGTTATTATCTACACTAATGGGAGGGGATGAACTTAGCCTCACAATAAGTTAGCAATAATGTGATTCAAACTCGCATTTGGCGAGAATCAAACCTAAGACATCTTACTTACAAATGAAGAGAAATACTACTACACCGTAATACTAAGTGTCATATAACATCATTTGTTAAAAAGAAAAAGAAATAGCGGTGGGATCTATTTATATTGTGTACCCTACCAATTAGATATGGTTCACAGAACGTGTTCCGGAATGTTTAGCAAGGGATAGAATGTTACAGAAGAACTTCCTGTATTTTTGTCATGATATTCGAATATTTCTGTTCAGATGTTCATGAATCATCCATCATCGACGTCCTTCCCTGCCAAAATATTGGGTTCTCATGTCTTTGAATTTGATTGGGAAGGACGTTGGCAGACGAACTACTCGGTTGCTTTCTGCTCTAATTATTAAATATAAGGGTCTGTTCAGTAATCATTTTAGTTTTCGGTTTTTAATTTTTTAATTTTAAATTTTTAAATAATTTTTTTGCAGTAAATCGTTTTATTTTTTGAGAAATCTTGGTGAAACGACGATTTTATAAAATTTATTTGATGAAATGATCAAAATCAAATGGTAACGATATGGATCAAATAGTGATGATAAATCAATAAAATCTTGACCAGTTATTATTGTAGCAGTTGGAATTTGTATTTTTTCACCATTTGAGTCCATTTCTCTCTGTCGACGTTGGGGTCAAATTTGTTGAATTAAAAAAAATATATAGTTTTGTTTTCCGCTTGTGAGTTATGAAGAGTAGGTATGGCATTATTGAGTTTTCACCATTTATTTCTGACACCCCGTCTCGAATGAGGGCATGCTGGTTACGTCACGCCAGCACGCTTTGATTCTAGGATTGGGGTGTGTCAATTTCGATCACCCAATTTCACCATAAATTTTTCTGTATGTTGTGAACACGGTACCGCACATCAAGTGTCATATTATAATTAGTTGGAAATTTTGTTTTCCAAGTTTCCAAATTCCAACTATTTGTATTATTACACTTGTGTACCAAGTCATGTTTCTGACACATAATTTCTCCAATTTCACAGCAATATTACCTTTGCACTGCTATGTGTGCTGTTTTTTGATATTTTGCAACATGTCAGATACAAACAATATAGAAAATTCAAATTTCGAACCTTAAATGCAAAAGGGAACTCTTATTTAAGTCATTCAACCCCACGAGGTTATTATTATTATTTTTTAAAATTTGATGATTTGATGTCAATGGAGTTTTTGAACCAAAAGGGAAAAATCTCAATGGAGTTAACAAGTTTTGGTGAAAAGTCTTAATCAAGTTCTTTCGAAGGGTGTGTTTGTGAATGATTGATGACTCAATTATTCAATACTGAATATCGAAATAATTACCTAACGTTTGAAAACTAGACATCTAGTAAGTTATTAGGGACTTTACCAACATTAAGTGATGACGTTACTAGCATTAAATGATGAGGTGGACAAATACTAAAGTTGATTTTCACTAATCGACATCTTTGGAGTTCTAATTTGTCAAATTGCCCCATTTTAGGCAAGTTAAACCACAAATTTGCTTAGCTAAATGACGTCAATTTGGAAATTCAAATCACCATAGATGACTTGAAAGTTAAAACACGCTTAATATTTGTCCATGTCATCACTGAATGTTAGTGAACCTAATATATGTCCATTCTTTAAAACTTTAGGTAGTTATTAAGAATGTTTTAATATGTTAGAATCAATTTGGAATCACTCCTAAAGGTTGGGTGGTTATCCGGACTTAACCTGAATTTTAATATATAACTAGTTGTTGTGGCCTATTTGAGAGAGAGGGTGCAACAGAGAGAGATGTATAAAGGCTTGAGGAATCCTGTAATGCTATTCCTTATGCCTAGTTTATAGTAATAAGAAGAAACTAACTTGTTTTGTAAGTAAAATAAAGTTTAATAGGAATGATGTTCAGATTTCTAAAGATTCTTAACTTATAATTTACACAATTACACATTGTTAAATATTAATTATAACAATAATTGTATGTTTTTAATTAATATTTTTTGTTTCATATGCACGAAATATACAATCAGTTACATCGCAAATCTTGTGCATATGAGGCTCATTGTGTGTGAAAGCACTAAAATTGAAGAGAAAATGTCAAATCATTTTGTATTCTTGTTCTTGAAATGAAAGATTAAAACTTTGGGGAACTTTAACGAAAAATTTTAAGTACTGTTTATTTTAACGAAAAATCATATTTTTACAGTAAAAAGTTAATCATGATGCTATTCATTTTATCCTTTATTTTGTTCTTATAGTTAAAATTCAAAATTTTTGAACTATTTTCATTAGTTTTCTTTTAAAACTTTATTTTATGAAGCTAAAATTTTAGAAGCATTGTGTAGCAGTAGAAATTATCCAGATGGGACCCATGAAAGGCACAATAATTTAATACAAAGCCATGGTGGGAGCTGGGAACATGGATTTGGTTGTCCTTCAATGGCAGCAGTGGCGGAGGACAGCGGCAGAGGATGAAGGTTTAGGGCTTTTTATGCTGGGCTTGGTTTCGTTGTCCTATTGTATTTAGGCTTGTAAATGTGAATGTGTTGTTGGTAATAAAAAAAAAGCAGCCCAATGTCAGACCCAGAAAAAAAAAAAAAAAAAAAAAAAAGAGTAATTGGACCGTAAACCCGTCCCGAACCGGCCCGTTTTAAAACGAGCCGGGTTAGGTCCGGTTCCTAAATTCAAAATCTCTCTACCCGGCCCGCCCCGGCCCGTTACATTTTAAAACGGGTAGGTCCGGTTCCTCTAAATTTGGGCCCGGCCCGGCCCGTGCCCACCCCTAGGTGAGGTTTTAGAAAAATAAAAAAAACAAAATTTTGTTTTGTGAAATTACTTTACTGTTCTTAAATTTTTGTTGTTGTGATAGAAGACAAAAATATTTTTTCGCCCTCTTCTGATTGACAAAAAGGGTTTCATTAATGTAGTTTTAGATAAAATAGATTAAATCAAATTTATTCAAAGGTAATGAATTTAGTGATGATAAAAAAAAAAAATCACTTTAGGGTGGTGAACAAATTTTTTTTTTTCTCACTAATATACATTTTAATTGATTTCAATTTTTGAAATACTCTCCCTTACCTCAATGTGATAGTTCGAACGCTCCCTCTCTCTTAATAATAATACATTTTTCTACAAATAGTGAAAGCGTAACAGCAAAAAATTATTGCCACAACTTTTAATTTACTTTTTCGAAGTATTAAAATATCGTTATAAAAACATTTCACGTGTCATTTTAGACGCATATAATTTATAAGCTTCGTAAAACAAATAGCTCGCATCTAAACATAATCAGCCAAACAGCTGTAACAACAAACTATCCACCGGACGCTTCAAAGACCGGATCTGCTATAAGGCAGGGGGCTCTTCAAAGTTCAACCGAGAGAGAAAATTGTCACAAAGCAGAGCTATTCGAGTGATGCGGTGAACAACTTCATTTGCTTGGAAGAGACATAGTTTATCTGTGTCTCTGATAGCTTAAGCTAAATAACTTTCGCATGTGTATTGGATACAAGCCTTTTGAGGTCAGAATTAGATGTATTTAATCCTCTAACAAACGCACTAAGCTAAAAGCTCGCAATCAGATCTGAATGGAGATTCCAAGAAGTAGGTTCTCATGTGTTAGAATAAGTCACTTGTTGATTTGGCGTGCACTATCAATTTATATTTTAAAGATTATTATGGAGACAGTGCATATATTGCAATGTATAAGATTGAACTTATGTTTCTTAATGGATACTAGGGTCTTTATATGTGGAGTGGTGTGCTTTGGGATGAGCAAAATACCCATGGATTTAGGTAAACGCGCTTTCCCGTCTATTTAAAGTTGACAGTTACAGTTATGGGTAACCGTTGAGACGAATAACGGTTATGAGTATAACCGTTTAATATGTGAAATTTAAATGAACGGTTATGGGTATTTATCCAAGGTTATAACGGGTATTCATTTATCCATTTAATTTAGGGAACTTTAACGAAAAGCACCCGGTACTGTTCATTTTAACGAAAAACCACATTTTTACACTAAAAAGTCAATCCTGGTACTATTCACTTTACCCTTTATTTTGTCCTTATCATTGAAACTCAAAGTTTTCAAGCTCTTTTCATTAGTTTTCCTTTTAATTTAATATATGTAAATTTTGAAAAAAAATATTAAAAACCCTCAACTCAGTCATTCTCTCTCCGTCTCTACATAATTCAGTGCAAAAACTTGGCCCTGTCAAACAATCAACAAAAGAAACTCAAACTTCGAAAACAAGTGGTTAAGAACCCACTGGGGCATTACATCGAACACCCCGGCGGGCACCCTAATCGGAGCAGATTTTCTTCAACTTATCAGCCGCAGATTCATCCACAGAGTACTGCAATCGCAGGAAATCCCAATTGGGTTCAACAGAAACACACACAAAAAATGTCCAAAACCAATAAATATTCCAAATTTGTGTTTTTAGTGATAGAAATTACGACGTTGTTACCTTATTTAGGACCCAGAGGGAATGATTGTAGGCCCTGAGGAAGAGATCGTGGAGGGCCTTGTCGTCGTTGGCCTCGACCTCTCTGTAATTGACGAAGTTCTCGCGGGCGTACTTGGCGTAGTAAGGTTGAGAGTCCTTTGGTAACCTCCTCACCAATCTCAGAACCTCCCCGTAGATTTTCAATGCTTTCTCCCATATCTCGACTCCCAGCACCGTCGATCAGCGATCACAGCATCAGAACCTCCACGAATAAAAAGGGCTTTTACTTGTCTTCACAAACGGGCCTCTGTTTATTGCGCAACAGACATATTGGAGTTGGTATGGGCCGTACCAAGCAGTTATTTCTAATGGGGCACTATATGCACCCAACCCCAATTTAATATAACGATGTTTAATTGTCAGAAAATAAAAATTTTTTTTGTAATTTTCAAGTTGTTAAAAAAAAATATGTAGATAAGTGAAAAAATGGGTAAATTGGTAAAAAAAAGTATAACCAGGTTCAAAAATGGGTAAATGGTTATGGTTAAATAGGTACACGGTTATGCGTATGGATAACTGTTTATAAACGGTTATGATTATGGGTATAACCGTTTATACAATTACCCAACAGGCAAACGGTTATGCGGGTATGAACATAAACGGTTATGGATAAATAACCGCAGTTATCCGTCCGCCATAACCATTGCCAATCCCTAGGTGTGCTTGATTGCAGTGTACATTTGACTGTTCACCTATATATGAGTGTGGAAGTGAGGCTGCTTCCTATGACAGCTTAGGCAGGTTCTCTAGAGCACTCATGATAATTCAGCTTGGGCAGGTTCTGTTTACATTTTTCTCATTATTTATCACCATGTACTAATTTGACATGGTGATAAATAATAATTGTCTAAGGACTGGATGATGATGCTACCAGTATTACCCAAATCAATATTACAAATGTTTAAAAAGTGGGAAGGCGTACCCTGAAATGCAAGGCAAATTGTCAAAGGACTGGTTGATGATGAAGAAAAGGATTGAATTATTTGCCTTATTCAAAACTTGGAAGATGGAATTTAATACACCAAATACATATATCAGAGAATCTCCTCTACAACCCTCTAATCCAGATAATAATTGACTGAACATGCCATGAATCTTCTTGCTCATACACTTAGTACCTAAACCATGCTTTACAAAAAAACAACCCTGTATCGAACAATCAACTTTTCCATAAAGGTAAAGGTAAATACCCAATTTATGCCAACCATGCGTAAAACGAGCGAGCATCTGATAGGGGCTTGAAAAACCTGGAACCATTTTCAATATCATCAAACAACAGAATCCCAATAACATTAATCAAGGATGCATACAAGAACACAATTACTTAAACACGCATCAGAAAAGGTTTAGCGGCAACCTGGGCCTGAAACATTGATCAAGTAGCTGCCTGCCATGCTCAGTCCAGCTTGACATTAGAGTAGAGTAATGTATCCCTGGTGACTGGCATATTCAGAAGGAAGCACACCTATATAAAGAAAATACACAAAACAGGTAAATATCCTTCTAACCACCAAACAGTTAAACACATTATTGACCCACACGATCGGTCTAAAAATATATAATTTAACAATCATTAGATGATTCACTTTTGTACATTCAAGAAAAACATCAGATAAAAAGCGGTTTTCAAGTAGAACTAGGTTCATTGTTTCATCCTTAAGTTTGTCATGTCCTGGCCAAAGTCCAGCAAAGCATCAGATGTTATGGCCAATGGGTTTTTGTTCATGGTTTTTTCTCCTTTTTCGTTTTCAGCTGCGACTTTGATCTTTAAGGACGGTGAAACTTACCCCCAAAAGAGTTGAAATGATAAGAATAATTCCTGTGATCCAAGCAAGTGTACGCCTAACCAATAACACTTGCACAATTTTTGTATTATTCAGGCCTTCTTTTTCAGCCAACAAACGAGCATATGATCGACTAGTATACATCACATTCAACATCTTTCCCGACTCCACAGGTGCAACTCCATTGAAAAGGATAGCTCCAACAATTTGACCTGCAAAATTGTTAATTTAACATTATTTCTAAAGATGATGACGAAAAAATTTCAAATGAACTATTGAATGAAGAAAATATATATTCATAAAAGTACCAAATATATGGCAGATATACACATAAAATTGGCAACAATGTTTCTAGAAAGAACAATTGCTTTAAAAGAACGAGAATTAACTAATAAAGTTTAAAATCAAAATGATTACCTTTGTAGGCATTTTCAAGTGAATCAAATATCTTGGACAGTGTAGCAAGTAGTAGCTCCACTCCATGTTGAGCTGCTCCATCAGTTCCATACTGCTCTTGCAAAACCTATCATAAGGTTTTGAAGTTTTTTTATTAAGCTATGGAACTCGATGCAGACACACAATAAGAATAAACAAAAGAACACACAGAGTCAAGAAAGTGCATGCATATGATTTGACTGCGTGTGCACAATTAATATATGCACATATATCAAATATATGAAATTTATGGAATGCAGCTTGGATACTATATTTTGATATACTCTTTTCTTCTTAAGGAGAAAAAAAAATATTTTATTGAATATGTATCAACTAATCAAAGTGAAGAAGCAGCCTACAAAGCAAACAAACAGACCTCTAACCAGTAAATTGCTATATATGAAAAACATAAAATGCCCAAAAGTATCTTTAATTAGAAGCACAAAACATCCCACAAGCTAACCAAAAATGAACTTTAACACTGTGGCCTTCCAATCCACATGAACAATAGAATAGTATATCCCAAATCCAGAGGGAGTCAAAGCACACAATGATGTCCAAAAGAAAATTCCACCCTACATACCTGCACTGGTATATATTTAGATCTTGTTTATCCTTGTTCCTAACCACAATTTTCTTTTCTCACTTTTAAACAAGTAGCTGGATCCATAATCCATAATCACTTTTAAACGAGTAATTAATCTGTAAACTGAAATTACAGTATTACTATTACACCAATACTCCTCACTATTTTACACCTAAATTAAAGGACCTACTTGTTTCGGTAAAGACATTGCACATAAAATTGACCATTACACGATGAAATAGGTATGTTGTATTTTTGTGTTCGTAGTGATGATAGGGAGCTGGATGTTATGGATACATTCTACCTCTAGTGAACTACTGGTCCACTGCAAGCATGTTTTGTTTCTTATTAACAAGAACAAAACAAAAAAGAGCATAAAAGCAAACAACCACACTTCAAAATATGTTCTTTATTACTTGGACTCAACCCATGTTTGAGCAGTGGGTTGATGGTGATAACCATACCCCAAAAAGAGAAGTACCCCACAAGCAAAAAGATCTCTAAACTATATTATGCATACAAGAATGTGGATAGTCTAAGATTTCCAGAATCCATAAATTTTCAGTACCGTGGAGTTCCACAAATGAAGTACAAAAAACCTTCGAAGGATACTCTTAACAGAAGAGTACATTATCACTTATATTAACCAATGTTTTAAAAGGCTCGCCTTAGAGGCCACCAAGAGGGTTGCTGCCTTTGTTTTGAGGGAGTGGGCGGAAGACATTGCCAGAGCCGCCTAGGCAGCGGAGGCGCGCCTCAGGCCGTCCAGGCATCTCTGTTTGGCTGTTTTTTTATTTATTTTTTTATTTTAACTCCCAAACCCAAATTTTGGGTAGGGTTTTAACTGTCTCATACCTCTTCCTTGCATTATCGTCTCTCTGCCTTTTTTTATGATTTTTATTTTTTTATATAATGGATGTGTGTGTGTGCTGTCTGCGTGCATTGTTATATGTCTGCTCATTGTGCTTTTCATCCTCAATTATATATATATATATATATATAATATAATATAATATATGTATATATAGGTCGTACCCAGTGCACAAGGCTCCCGCTTTACGCAGGATCTGGGAGAGGTGAATGTCGGCTAGCCTTACCCTCATTTATGGAGAGGTTGCTCCCAATATGTATATATATTTTATAATACATGTGTGTGCTCAAGATGATTATTGATTAATAATCTTTTTTTTTAATATAATATGTGTACGCTCAGTGTATATATTAAAACATTTAGGTCCGTGAGGCTTCGCCTCACGCCTAGGTCGGGCTATCCCTCTGACTCCTCACCCACGCCTCACGCTTTTAATAAATTGATATTAACTGAGAAACTGTGGCTTGCCTGTCACAATAGCAAAAAAACATATTCCCCCCCCCCCCCGCCCAACCAAAAAAAAAAAAAAAAAAACAACCCCTACATATACGTATGTACACACAGCAAAAATACTTTTTGTTGGTTACTACTTTGCCACAAGCATATTTGCTGACATCCATTTTAAACTTTAAAGTCAACCAAAAAAGGAAGAAAACAACACCTTGATTCCATCAAAACGGCCTGTTAATAACTCAGCTGGGCTATGGATGTTGTGTGACAAATCTTGATGCATTTCTGTTGCCCTTTTAAAGTTGCGGATGAGAGACAGAAGGCTAGTTGTGAATATCCTATCTGATTCCTGTAAACGTATACGATGCAGGCCTTCCAATATAAACCACCATTTTACAACATGTATACAATGCATATCAAACAAATGAACATGTTATAGTCAATCTCAGAAAACCTTTGACATATGAAGCTTCAAGTTGTCGCCATTGGCCAAAGGGATGCTCAACTCTCCATTTAGTGGTTCTAATGTATCAACAACATATGAACCACTCATCCAAGCTGCCTAAAGAAGACAAAAATCTTAACATTAAAATTAAAGCAAAAACTCAAGTTCATTTTCATGTATACAAGAATAAAAAAAAAGCATGGCATGTCGAATAAATGAACATAAAAAACAAAACATGATATAGAATATCTTCAAGCCAGACTCACAAAATCTCCAATCTCCTTGTCAGTATAATCTGTCGATTGTTCATCCAAAGAAAACACAGAAACTTCACCTTCATCTGCAACAACACATATAATGAACAAAATTTACATAATTCTGAATGAGGAATAGACTAATAGTAATGTCCTTGCACTAGTTTCACAAGTTACTCGTTTTGAAAGGTCATATACCTGGAAGCTCGATGTCAGCTTTGCTTGAGCCAAGGTCAATCTTGGAACTGTAGGCACTGCTGAACATGGCATTGTCTTTGACTACAAGAGCATGATCTGCATGTATTTTGACATACATGTTTATAATAAGTGCACAAAGTAATATAATAATGGTAAAAGTGTCATAAGTTAGCATGCATTTTACTATTTTAGAGACAATGTTATATACCATCAATTCCTCCAACTTCAAGCGCAACAACAGCACGAGGCCTATTGAATGGATTAGGCACGAGAACCTCATTCAACTACCACAAAGCAACAACAAAATATGATAAATTAGACCTTGGGTTAACACGATGGGGGTAACTAGAGAAAATAACTTCACATTACTTATTATCCACAACACCTTAGCTGAACCAACAGCTGAGAGGGCGGAAGATGGTGCAAATCCAAGCAAAACTGACACGGCTGCACTGACTTCTGAGAGCAACATTGAGTCGGGCTGCGAAAGCAAAAGGCAAGTAGTATTAGCAGATAAACGAAGAAAAATCTGCAGTATTCAATATCTAGATAAAACAACTGAAAAAAATACCCCTTGCAGTACCAAAATCAAATATAACAAAATGAGGTATGCTTAAAATTCCGCCAAAAAAATCCCAGGAATCCCTTTTTGGGGGAAACAAGAAATATATATTGGCACGATCAAATTTCTAACAATTTCAAGTTCAATTAGACTGAATTTAATATGTGAAGTTGTGAACTTTAAATAATTAAACTGAATTGGGGAATTCTGAATCAACAAGCAATTGCGGGAATTACCTTGACGACATCGTTTGACGAAGGGTTACGAAGAAAATGATGAGTGGAGCTATCGATGAAGAAGACAGAGGCAGTACCATCAGCCTGATTCAAAAACGAACAAAACAGTAATCAGATCGGAGACCTATCATTATCACATCGATATATATATACGCACACAGATACATATATATATATATATATATATAGAGAGAGAGAGAGAGAGAGAGAGAGAGAGGCGAACCTTAGCGTTGGAGGAGATAAACGAAGCAATGGTGAGTATGTAGAAGCAGATGGTGCGTGTGAGTAAAGCCATGGGAGAGAGAGGATCTGATCTGTGGCTCTGCTACTTGGAATGAGGAAGGAGGGGCGAACTGACTTGTCCTTTTGATTTCAAGAAAGAAGCCGCGAGCGACGTCGTATCAGTTTATATTCTGTTTTCTTTTTTTTTCTTTTTCTTTTTTTTTTTGTCAGATAGTTTGGAGCTAAAACCTAATCATGAGGAGTATTTATGTGAGCAAATGCTAGTCTATGACTATAAACTTACTATTCACGAAGAGCGAGGAAGAGTTTCTCTTCAAGTTATCAATGAATCATGAATTTTGTTTTAATGGTCGTAATTGTTCATATTCTTACTCACGCACTGTGTAAAAATTATTTATGCAAAAAATCAATATTTATAAGATCATCTTCGAACTATATAAAAACATATGGATGAAGGAATCCAGTAAAAGAATTATAAACCGTTTATCTATTTGCTACAGTTAATTTATTAAACGATCTTATTTTAATTGAATTTTTGTAAAGATGATTTTTACAAAATGATTTATAATATGAACTATTCTGATTATAAATAGAATGTTTCGTGAATTGGTATAAAGTATCTTAAAAGAGTCAAGCCTTTCTCTTTCAAAAATATCATTATGTCCTTTTTTCTTTTCTTTTTTAAGTTACGCCCTTATGATGAATATTGAATGAAAACACTACGACTTACGGGCATAAGCTTTGTTTGACACCAACGTGAACAAATAATCAAAATTTCATAGGGGAAAACGGCAATGCTACGAGTATCACGCAAATCAATATTACAAGTGTTAAAAGTGGGAAGGCGTACCCTGAAATGGAGAGAGGATCCTAAGATCCTCCAATCATATCCGTTCATCATACATCGCGTGGGTCAATTTTATCAGATATTGTTTATATTCAATTTTAAATGAAAAAATTTACAATAATTTCCGACCATAATGTATGATGAATGGATGTCATTAAAAGATCGTCCTGAAATGCAAGGCAATAGTCGAAGGACTGGACGATGATGAAGAAAA